TGGATCTATTAAGCTGTTTTCCAGCTACCTTATTTTACTCTAGATCACCATAAAAAATATTTTACAGCATGTTTTTCTGAAAATTACTTAAATGGGCAGATGGTAAAAATGCCTTGTTTTTTTGAAGACCACAGATGCATTTCCATGACTTTTCTCTTAGCCATTCAATTTAGCGAGTTATAGTCATTATTTGGTAGATAACAGCTGTAGTGCTTTTGCATTATTCTGTGTCAATATCTTACTGAAATCATTGAGAGGACAATGTGTGAGCTCAGTTTAACAGTCCTCTCAGATGTACAGTTATAAAAAAAAACAGCTCTTCAGCACAGCAATGAGTAGCATAAAACTACTTCAGGTGATTAAACCTATGATCAATAGTGAACCATTAACATCAAGAGACCCTATTATGTCTTTGCCTGGAAATGTATAGTGCGGTGCATTCTAGTGTGAAACTGAGATCAAAGGGAGTTCGTATACTGAACTCCCTTTGATCTCCTGTCACAGGGAAGCTGCTCGTCGGGCTCCACTGTCTGCTCGTCACAGAGTGGACGAGTGGATTTTTCGAGCCCTGAATATTTGGTATGTCTTTTCTTTGCCTTTAAAACAGCATTGGTTCTCATAGGTATACTTGCACACAGTTTTTTTGAAAGAACTTTGCAGAAACGTGGTTTCAAACATCTAGGAGAGCCAATCATAGTTCTTCTGTGAATTTAGTCTATTTGAATCTGTCTCTTCATGTAATCTCAGACTTAGTGACATTGAAATCAGTGCACTTTGGGGGTCACACTGTCTCTTCCAGGACTGAAGATATTTAATTATGATTTTGGCTATATAAATGCGGTCATTGTACTGTGGCAGACTGAATTTGAAACTGCACGGATGCCTCCCTCATGGTATGCTATGATAAACAATAGGGATGCACCAATATATCTGCCACCGAAACATATAGGTCGAAAATGGCACACAAAAGTGCCATTTCTTGCCGATATAGTGGTGCATCCTATTCTCTCCTCCCTGCTGGCCGCTGCTCTGTGTCCCAGCGGGGAGGAGAGAAACTATCACAGGCGGCCATGCGCTGCGGGGGGAGAGCGCTGTGAGCGGCCAGTGTCTCTCCTCCCACACCGCTCAGCCTCCTGTGACAGATCGGCAGAACGGTGTGTGGGCGGAGACTTCCAGCGCTGTCACAGCAGGCTGCGCTCCGCTCGTTCACTGACACACGAAGGAGAGTGAGGTACAAACACAGCGATTACTGAGTGTTTGTAAATAATTGAGGACATAGTATGTTTACTGTATCCTCAATTATGAATGAATGGGGAGTGATCTACATCACCTCCTGTTCATTCATGATTGTGGTTATAGTAAACATTCTGTCCTCATTTTATAAATTAACAGGAATATAGAGGATCCCTGTTCATTTATAACTGGGGCTGCAGAAAAAGATTGATGACTCTGTGTCCTCAATCTTTTTTTCTATTTTAAAAAGGAAATATCAGGGGTCTGTTTAGACCCCCAATATTTCCCTGAAGCCCCTAAAAATATAGTAAAAAATAAACATATTTTATAAAAATATAAAAATAAAATATACAAAAATAAAAAGTTTATAAAAATAAAATATTAAAAAAATTGAAAATGTTAAAATTAAAAAAAACATTTTCAGTTTCAGCTTGACATTTTTTTTCATTGCAGTTTCGGTTTTGAAATGTTCATTTCGGTGCACCTCTTATAAACAAGTATATGTCTGTACTTTTCAGCATTAAAAAGATCATAAATTCTCACCAAATCCCCAACTCCATGTGCAGAAATGCAGCCTTAATCCTACATTGAACCTCCACCATGCTATACTATTGCATAGTACAAACTAAAATGTGCTTTTAGAGAGGGGGAAGTTGCTGTGTGAAACAACATGTGTGGCACTTCAATTACATTTTTGCTTGTTGAATTTTTGGCCACATGCTGGTATTCTTGATATTGTATAAATATCAAAAACATGGATTGACAGTGCAAAAGATGGGACACCATGTTTGAAAGATCTGTTCTCAAGACCCCAAATGTAGCATGACTGATGTATGATGTGGAGTGAACACTTTCTTAATTTTACATTGCATAGACATATCCCATTTTCTATGTCCAGCAAACATGGCTATTTACCCTGTTCCAGGAGAATAATTACCATAATTCTTTGTGATCTGTACAATTTATCTCTGAAACATGGAATCTGCTCATGGTTGATGTGCAGCCGTGGCTTTAGGGTTTTATTATCATATGCAAAATAATGCAAAGTTTCAGGGCCTGTTTATTTCACCTTTCATTGTCACATAATTGTTGATCATCTGAGAAAGACATTCTGGGAAGTGAATAGCACCATCATTAATCAGCTTGTAAACAGTGGCACAAGTCTAATGGTGCTCATTGCAGTATCCCAGTAAACAGCTTGTATATGCTTACATTTATTTACATTGTAGGAAAATATTCAGAACAAAGCACTATGTATCAATATATTTGTCACTGTGCCATTTAGAGATTTAAGTTTTCCTGTTACAGACATCTCAGAAGTGACCTCTTCAGGCACAATGTCTTTTATGGATTTGGTAGTGTTTACATTAGTGCCAATGAGGCCTGAGTAAAGTACATTAAAGCTAATGCATCGCCTGCTGTCAGTAGTCTTCAGTGTTTGGGACAAGCCATCCCAATAAGCCAAAATGGATAAAAACAGATAATGTGTTGATTATTGGCAGATACTGCCATTCTCATGAATATTCCTTTTAGTTTATTGCTTGCAAAGGTCTTTTTGATACAAAAAAGACATTTCATTGACAGGAGGAAAGAAAAGTATTAAATGGCATTATTAATCTTTTTTGTTAATGTTTTTTTTGTAAAGTGTTGCCATTAAGTGTTTATTGGGGACTAAAACATTAAACCGGGTGGATTTATTGTTGTTGTTGTTGTTGTTTAAAGTTCACATTACCACAATGCTTGCAGTCTGTCAATTTTGTAATTGCCATAGTTACTCTTTTAATTATTTGAGGACACTGGTCTAGAGCTGCAGCTAACGATTATTTTCAAAATCGATTAGTTAGCCGATTATTAAGTTCGATTAATCGGTTAATCGGATAAAACATAAAATACATTCTAAAAAATGGCTCCAGTGATGGACTACTAGTTTGTATTGAGTGTAGTCCATCACAGGAGCAAGCTTGGAGCGGTGGAAGTAAAAAAAGAAAACAAAAGTGTGAATAATAAATACCCCCCCAAAAAAGTAATCATGTTTAGTATTGTTACCATACAGAGTTTATGTCACAAAGTATAGGTAATATGTATATAGAGCTTGAAAATCTCAGGACTGAATCCTTATAATCTCATACCTGTAGGTGTGAATGCTTATATAGCACATCATAACTTTAAATAGTAATTCAGGTTACAGTATGCCCTGTCATTCTGTCAGGCTGCTGCTCCCCTATCACAATTGCTGTCAATACTTGACTATTAAAATGATAGCTGGCAGTTGAAGTTTAAAAACAGAAGTTACAGAAGCTGCTGCTCTCAAAAAAACCTGACCATCTTATTCAGTGTTTATAAACACTGCTCAAATGTTAGATGGAGAAATACAAAGTGACATAGTTACTTTTGTTGTTTAATTTTTCATTCAGGAATGAGCTCTTCAATTTACATATTATGCCACATAAAGCAACCAGACACATTTCTTTCTCCCCTTAACTATTAGTTCTTGCTTTTTTTTTTCCCCCTGTGAAACCATTCATATTTTTTGTATTATTATTTTTGTCCATTAGTATTTTTAGTGTTGCATAAAATAATGCTAAATAAATTGAATTAAAAACTTTTGTATTACAGTTGTAAATAACTGCACTTATTATTCCAGAATCATAATTTTAATTTAATTTGGAAATAGTATAGAATGAGGTTTATACTTGTTATCTACAGTAAAAAAAATCTAAACTAACAAAAAAAAGGTATTATTTTGTCATCCTAGGAACATAGGTAAGGCCAAGTTATTGTCCAATCAGTAGACCCATAGTAGAAATTTTTAAAAAATCCTCTGGTCCATAGGGGGGTTACAGGTGTGGAATTATTTTCAACTAGATTTGTTTTTAATTCCCTTAAAAGTGTATGCAAATAGGTTGTTTCTAAATTTCATTCAAGAAAGATGTGCCAAGGTTCCATTACAAACGTACCAATCTTAGTATATTATTGTTTTATGTAATTATGTATTTTGCTAGATAGGTTACATGTATACGTTAATACAGTGTGAAAAAGACACTGTTGGATTTAAAGATAAACCTAAAATGCAAAATAGGTTATGTAAAACATGTATAGACAATATTTATAGATTCTTAAAATCCACTGGAATGAAATTAGTACTGTGAAGGCTTATTCTGTTTATTGAGAACATTGCTGAGCAAATTGAAGGATATTGCCAGGACTACATTTGATATATAGATATATATATATATGATCTATATATATATATATAGATATATATATATATCTATATATAATGTGTGTGTGCATGCATCGGTAAGCCTTGGCCACCTATGACCTTGTCAACAACTGGCCATTGCAGACCAGGAACATCCCACAGTTTTGGAGTTGTTCTGACCTTGTCTATCTGTCACAATTTGGCTGTTGTCAAAGTTGCTCAAATCCTTATGCATGCCCATTTTTCTGCTTCCAACACATCGTCATGGGCAAAATGTTCACTTGCTGTCTAATATGTTCTATCCACTTCCAGGTGCCATTGTAACAAGCTCAATGTTATTCACTTCACCTCTCAGGGGTCATCATGTTATGGTTGATCGGTGAATATCTGTTATAAAAGACTTCCAAGGGTATTTAATATGTGTTCAATTTTAAAGTGGTATTTTTAAATGTTTTACTCCTACATATGCTGGAAAACATGTTAAACAAAACTGTACTAGATAGTTTATTCATTTGTCTTCAGTGCCAAATATCAGTTTGTTTTAATGGACTCCTTGCATTTTTAGGGTCCATCCTCCGTATCTCCAGATGGTCAGAAAGAGCTTAGTTGGCAAGATAACCTTATGAAATCACAGAAGCCCAGATTTATGTTCAGGTAATTCCTATAATGATGCATCTGCTCGCCAGTCTCTTGCCGTTGAATTCGTGTTGGGTGAAATTGTTCTTTAAAACCACACTCCAGGTAAAACAATAACGTACACCCCACACTGGGAGTATACATTATCATTAAAAAGCTTTATGTTATGTTAGATTGTAAGCCCTCAGGGGCAGGGCCCTCCTTTCCATCTTGTCTTGAATTGTATTGTGATTGTAATGTCTTCCTTATATTGTAAAGCGCTGTACAAACTGTTGGTGCTATATAAATCCTGTATAATAATAATAATGTGCAGAGGGTTGCTGCAAAGTATAAATAAATCTTACTTTGCAGCATCCCATCTCGTGCACATAATGTTGAGCTTCCTGGCACTGAGGAGAGGGAGAGATGCTGTGATTGGAGGAGTATAGTTAATGTCACATTACTGCCCACCTCCTCCAGTTACAGAATGCCTTGCATTTTTTGAAAAAACACAAGACATTGTGTGAATGGACAAGAGTGAGGAGGGGCTCAAACTGCTCGAGTTGCATTTCTCCCTCTCCTCAGTGCCTGGAATCTTAGCATTATGTGCAGGAGACGTCATGCTGCAAGGTAACGCATTTATACTTTGCAGCAGCACATACAGCTTTTTAATGATAATTGACACACCCAGTGGGGTCTATATTTATTTGTCTCTGTGACTTCTTTGTCACATCCTTCCCACTCACTTCTACATGCATATATATATATATAGATATATATATATATCTATATATAATGTGTGTGTGCATGCATCGGTAAGCCTTGGCCACCTATGACCTTGTCAACAACTGGCCATTGCAGACCAGGAACATCCCACAGTTTTGGAGTTGTTCTGACCTTGTCTATCTGTCACAATTTGGCTGTTGTCAAAGTTGCTCAAATCCTTATGCATGCCCATTTTTCTGCTTCCAACACATCGTCATGGGCAAAATGTTCACTTGCTGTCTAATATGTTCTATCCACTTCCAGGTGCCATTGTAACAAGCTCAATGTTATTCACTTCACCTCTCAGGGGTCATCATGTTATGGTTGATCGGTGAATATCTGTTATAAAAGACTTCCAAGGGTATTTAATATGTGTTCAATTTTAAAGTGGTATTTTTAAATGTTTTACTCCTACATATGCTGGAAAACATGTTAAACAAAACTGTACTAGATAGTTTATTCATTTGTCTTCAGTGCCAAATATCAGTTTGTTTTAATGGACTCCTTGCATTTTTAGGGTCCATCCTCCGTATCTCCAGATGGTCAGAAAGAGCTTAGTTGGCAAGATAACCTTATGAAATCACAGAAGCCCAGATTTATGTTCAGGTAATTCCTATAATGATGCATCTGCTCGCCAGTCTCTTGCCGTTGAATTCGTGTTGGGTGAAATTGTTCTTTAAAACCACACTCCAGGTAAAACAATAACGTACACCCCACACTGGGAGTATACATTATCATTAAAAAGCTTTATGTTATGTTAGATTGTAAGCCCTCAGGGGCAGGGCCCTCCTTTCCATCTTGTCTTGAATTGTATTGTGATTGTAATGTCTTCCTTATATTGTAAAGCGCTGTACAAACTGTTGGTGCTATATAAATCCTGTATAATAATAATAATGTGCAGAGGGTTGCTGCAAAGTATAAATAAATCTTACTTTGCAGCATCCCATCTCGTGCACATAATGTTGAGCTTCCTGGCACTGAGGAGAGGGAGAGATGCTGTGATTGGAGGAGTATAGTTAATGTCACATTACTGCCCACCTCCTCCAGTTACAGAATGCCTTGCATTTTTTGAAAAAACACAAGACATTGTGTGAATGGACAAGAGTGAGGAGGGGCTCAAACTGCTCGAGTTGCATTTCTCCCTCTCCTCAGTGCCTGGAATCTTAGCATTATGTGCAGGAGACGTCATGCTGCAAGGTAACGCATTTATACTTTGCAGCAGCACATACAGCTTTTTAATGATAATTGACACACCCAGTGGGGTCTATATTTATTTGTCTCTGTGACTTCTTTGTCACATCCTTCCCACTCACTTCTACATGCAGATTTTAGGTGTAATGGAGAATTGGTTGAAGTTCAAACTAGAAAACCGTTTGAGACAGTGATTTTGGGTAACTCCAGTCGTGGCCCAGACAAATACAGTATAAGCAGGCAGTATGAGCTGTAACACATTAGAATTCAATACTGAAATATGAGTACAGGGTGTAACTAATGTTTAAATTACCACACCACTTTTTCCTACCTCTGTTTCCAGAGATGTTGAGCGATCGCCACCCATAGAATAATTACATGAATTATAGTTACTTTACCATGCCTGTTTGAAAATATCAATCTGGGCTTTTTTTTTTTTTTTTTACTTCTCAGTAATTTTACAAAAAGATGTTTCATAACTTAATAAACAGTTTACCATCACATAGAAACATAGGGTTAAGAACAATGCAGAGCCTGTCGAGAAAAAAATAGTTAATCATTGCTTACATTATACACTTTTGATTAATTAGTCTTACATGTACTGTGCCTGTCATAAAGGCAGGGGGCATAACAACAGTCTTAGCAGTTGGAGTCAATCCAGTTCGATCCAAACACTTTATTCCCTAATGTCAATTACATAAAATACTGTTAGCAAATGGTATTAAAATTAAACTTATTGCAGAATTTAGCTACAGGGCATCACCAAGTGACTCCATCAGAACTTTCTTTCCGCATTCTTGTATGTTATTTGTAAACACCGGAAAACATTTCATGAAACAATATGCTGTGTTACTTTAATCCTTGATAAAATATACATTTATTAGTATTTATTTTAAAGACCTACCCTCTGAAAATAAACTATCTTCATAGATTTAATTCAACCTGCCTTTGTTTGCTGAGTTATATGTTTGGAGTGCAGGTCCTGGTGGCCTGGTTCATGACACATTTGTGCAAGGAGTATCACTGGATTTTATGTTATTCCTTCAGGTAGCTGATATTTAGAATTTATTGTTGTAAAGGGCAGCGGACTGTCATTGTGTGCTTGAAGGTCGTCACAGGTAGGCCTGCGGGATTTCAGAGTATAACTTTTAATAATCTTTCAGTCCTCCAAAATCAAGCAGCTTATCTTAGGATATAATTCTGTAAGTCATAAAAATACAAATAATGTGATTCATCCAGAGGTCTACAAATACAGGTAACATAGCTCCAATGACCCATGAACATTACTAGTGTTTTAAAACCGCAAGTGTAAAATAGAAAAGAATAGTGGACAATAAGGAAACATAAGGTTCGCAGACGCATTACATATACTAAGATCCATTTACATGAATAGGTCTAACCCACTATGTTAAGATGAGCAGGGATTTCTCTACAGTGTGCCAGGAAGAAGCCGGAGACTGAGGCACTACCCATTTACACTTTCCCACTGTGTGTGGGTGCGGGGGAGGGGGCGGCTTGGGACCACCGGGGGGTGAGACATCCGTCCACGCTTTCTTTCCCAATCTTTGTGCGTTTCCTTCCGCTTTCTCTTTGTGAGTCCTTGTATGTAAATGTCTTGTCTGTCGTGTATGTGCTGTTTGAGGAGGAACTGGCACGGGCTAGCCCTCCACATATTGGGGCTGTACCCGGCCGCTCGCCTCGACGCTATGTTCCCTTCCTGTCCCTGTTTTTGTTTAAGTGTGTTTATTTGTCATCTATTTTCTCCATAAAATGCCTTAAGGGCGGGGACATGTACGGTTACTTGACCTGATCTTACAGCTTTGTTAACATGTTTTAAATATGTTCTTCATTGTCTATGATTCGATATTGTGTGAGACCTTGTGGCCTCCGCTTGTCCTCCTTTTCTATGTACCCCACCCTTTTTGTTCATAAATAAAGAATTAAAAAAAAAAAAGATGAGCAGGGATAGGAATGCAAATCCTAAGAACTATGTAAGTTTCCAAATTGCAAGCATGGAGATTGGTTGCTAATGCATACTCCTCTTCTACACTGGAACACAAAGCAACATCTACCACAGTCATAGTCAGAGTCTGTAGAGTAAGTTTACTTTATTCAAAATTACGTTAACCTGCATAATGTTTCCTTTTGCAGCACATCACAATGCACATATGGTGTACACCTGTGCATTGTGGTGTTTTAAAGGGCTGTGGTGCACTGGATAGGTATGTTGGGGTGCCATAAAAAAATGGCACCAAAATGCACTGCCTCTAGTTTACTGCATTATTGTGGGTTAAACACACACACACATTTTAACTTGGCCTTAAACTGAAACTCCAGCTAAAACACTTTTCTCTGGTGGGTGTGATAACAAAGTGCAGACTAGATTGGGTCTATAGGTTTTTATTGCTGCCTGTGTCCCTAGTGGGGATATTCCTCAAAAAACTGAGTGGCAATCTTACCAAAACAAGTGACAAATCTGTCAGTTGTCATTGGAACAGGTATCCCCACTAAGAGATTGCCCCCCACGTCCTGTTCCAATAACAAATATGAACTGTTAGATATCCTTTAATTTTCTATCATTGACGCAGCAATTACACATGTTCGTGGTAACAGGAAGTCATCAAGCCATTGCTGCATTATGGAATCACTTTTTGAGGTATTGTAGCAAAATGTGCCAAACACTCTTGTAAATGTGCAGACAATTGCTGCACAGTTCATAATAGTGGGGCAGTTGTTTCTAGAAAATTTGTGGCGGGGTGAACTGTGGAATTATGTGAAGTTCCCCAGCTGTATTATTCATTTGAGAATATATAAAAACTTCAACTGCGCTGGATGATATGAGTGTTCATAGTCCGATAGTGTGAGTGATGATGTGTAAGTGCAATTATGTAGTCTTTGAATCTTGTGTAGCTGGGTGCTTAAAAGTCATTAGTCACTGTTTTCCCTGCTTATACTGAAGTATCTCTCCTGTGCATCATTCTTATTTTCTTATCATTGTTTATAGAAGATCCCACAGTACTTTACAGCAAATATTTTATGTAGGTCTAAAGCTTGCATATTTTTTTTTGTTTACCTCATGCATGCCATATTTAATGAAAAGGAGTACTATTTCCCACTCACACTGTCTAATGCATCTGATGTGTGTGTGTGTGTGTGTGTGTGTGTGTGTGTGTGCTGCTGCTACTACAACTACCCAGGCAGGTGAGAGGCTGTATTAAAGCTTCAGAATTAAGAGCCATTAATAGCAGTTCCTGAGCACACAAGCAAATTGGCATGACCTCTTTTCACTGCAAAAGGTTGCTGCCCTTTCCAGCAGTGAAGAGGTAAATAATGAAACCCTCCATCAAATGCTTCTGTGAATGGTGATCAAAAGTTGGTCAAGCATGCCATCTTCTCCATTATATAGAAATTTTCATTTCTATCCCTTTGCTCAATGAGATCTATTAGTTTTGCTGCAATGAACTGTCAAGTAATACCATTAGCCTCAAAAATGCACTAAATGCCACTCAGAGTTTGTAATAGCTGCTTTAAACTGCTCTTGCCTCAACAAAACCTATGCTTTTCATTTTTTCCTTTACAGTGAGTTGACAAGAAAGTTAGAGATTTCAGGAGACGGAGGACCATTGGGAATACATGTTGTGCCTTTCTATTCCACTCTTAGTGGACGGTGAGTTATATGGCAAAGAATAAACCACCACATTGATTGTCAGTAGTTTTTTTTTTTGCTTGATTGATTTATTGCCTCACTAACCAGGCTTGTAGAACACCTGCCATGTTGTCTGACATCTTTATGTAATAAAACTCCAAAGTGTTAAAGCACTTTTATCAGACCACTAATGCTTTATAAGTACCACCGTTTTGGTACAAGGTAGGTTTCCACATTCAGTACAGTACAGTTAAGCAGGGTTTGGACAACTGCAGATAACTTTTACAGCCCTTGCTAACACCCAGTCCCCAAAAACCCATTCCTGAGTTTGGGGAAGCAACTGTTCTATTTGAGTATGCAGCATTTTTAGTAAATATATGACTCTAAAATTATTAAAGCACAAATCATCTCTTCACCCTCTCTTTCTCTCCCTCTAACCCTCACTCCCAGTTATTATGATGCTGTCATTCTGGACAGTGATGCTGCTAACACACATATATGTAAAGTCTTTACACATTTATGTGCTTGATGATCGCATAAAGCATATGCAGAGGTTCCTTACTCACTACTATCCACTTCTTTTAAAAAAAAAAAAAAGCATGCAATGATTCAGGAGTGCAGATGCTACCAGAAGTGCTTGTTTTTCTTTTGACTCATGAAATGTTTGGGCCCTGTACAACCTATCTGGTGAGCACCCCCTCCCTGCAGTGCCCCTTCCACCACAAGACAGTGGTGGAAGTAAAATAAATTGCAGGATATCTGACATCACGGGACAAAAGAGAAAACTGGTAGCCATTTTTTAACATTTAGCCCTGGGACTTTAAAAACTGATTTACTAATTTAGAAAAACTTTGTTCCTCCAGCTACCCAGATGCTGGAAGTCTCTAAAGCTACCCATGTTTGGTATGTTCTCAGCATTACAATATTAAAATGACAGTTCCATCATCTATGGCTGTGATTCTCAACCTTAGTGACACGAGAGCCCAATAAATTATTTCAAAGCCTTCCATGCCCCAACATTATTTTAATTTTTATTGTTTTCCCTTTCCATAAGAAATAAGTTCATTGAAACAATAAACAAAACAAGTAAACATATAAAAAGCATTGTACAACAAATAAAATCGGGTAAATACACAATTGAATACCCCGCCAAATAATAGTAATCTGTAACCTCAGAATATCAAAGGCTAACCTAAAGAACAAATGGTAAACCATGGACAATTGTGCTAAAGGTGTCCCGCCACTGCATTACAAATTGACAAGCTCCTCGAATGTAAATAGTAATAAGTGACTGGGATCTGTTTATGAGCTCCATTGAAGGGAGAGGGATGGAAATAAAAAAAAAGGGGGGGGGGAGAAGGAATGTGGATACATAGAAAAATGAGGAGACCAAAGAAAAGTAAGCAGAAAGTAACATGAAATAAGGACATGGACCGTAAACGACCAAAAGCTTATCAGCAAGAAAGAGCGGGCAAGAACATGCATCGAGCAAAAGAGGATAAGTATTAAAAATCCCACTCAGAGGACCTCACCCAGGCAGATAAAGGCACATGTCAGCAAACACTGGGCTATCCCAAGTCAAGAGTCCATCAACTGAGCATAGGCAGGTGTTGTTTTGAAATGGAACCAGTAGGCCCAGGTAAAGTTATATTGAGAAACCCTGTACTGGGCTATATGCATCAGTTCCTCCATTTCAGCTATGCTAGTAATTTTTATAAACCAAACCTTCATTGGAGGAATTGGGATAAGGAGCTTTCCCGCTTTTAGAATGTAAAAGAGCGGAGCCAAGTGGGATATTCAGCTGCTTACATGTCTCATTTATCTTTCATCAAAATGTCTGGCCCTGCTGCAACTTCCACTAATGTTGGCGCCCCTGGTCGATCACCTAGTAAAGCAGTTTCCCCCCAGAGCAGCAGGATCAACTGTCAGACAAAGAAAAACTATAAGCAGTGTTGCAAGAAGTTCTGCACGGGCCCCATCTGCTGGCACAGGAGGCATTTGGAGATTTTTTACAGGGGACTCTCCAGGTCTTAAAGTAGGGCCTGTCCCAGTACTGGTGATGAGTCTACTCTTCATTGCTTCTGTGTTCATGCTTCACATCTGGGATAAATACACACGTTCCTAAATGTCTGTGCTCAAGACTGTATTGGACCAAATAAGCTTTGGACTTCTTCAAAGAGTTACCATCTTGCATTTTAGCGTAGACAGAACTTGTGGTTTCCTCAAACTTTTGAAATATGACTTCTTTTGTAAATAAAACCAACAAAAAAAAGCGATAAACAAAAAAAGAATTTAAAAGAGCAATTTTTCTTGTACTTGTGAGTGGTAGAGTTGACCAAGTTGACCAACATGAGATGGTTATTAGGGCCTTGCCCATGTGACCTTCGAATTAAAAAGGAAGGTAACTGTGTGGTGATGAATTGTTTGATAAAGTAAACATTCAGTTGTCAGGTAGAGATGGGACAGGCTTCCCTGTAGAGATGCGTTTTCAGGGATTGCCTGAAAGCAGGCAGATTAGGAGATATTCAGACAGTTTGCGGTAAAGACTTCCAGAGGATGGGGGAGACTCTGGAGCGCTCCTGGAGGTGAGCATGGGAGCGAGAAAGCAGGAAGTCTTGGGAGGAGCAGAGAGGACAGTTAGGTTGATTTTTTGAGATGAGGTTAGGGATGTAGGTGGGGGCAGAGCTGTCGATTGCCCTGTAAGTGGTTGCTAATATTTTAAATTGTACTGTTTGGGCCATTGTAAGCCAGTGAAGGGATTGGCAGGGAGGTGTTGCAGACACTGAGTGGTTGGTGAGGTAGTTGAGTCTGGCAGCAGCATTCCTATTAGACTATACAGGTAGACCAATGAGGAGCGAGTTGCAATAGCTGAAACAGGAAAAAAATACAAACAAAACCCGTACAATAACAGTATGGCAAAGTATGGTGTTTGGTGGTCAGTAGGAGGAAAAAATATCTTGCATAAGTGGTCAGTAAGAAGATGTCACGATGTTGGTGTCAGTGGGAGAGAAAAAAAATATATAGGGTTTTTGAAGTGTACTACAGGCTCTGGATGGGGCTGGGTGTCACTGTGCTGGGTTCTGGAGGGTGTTAGGGGAATCTGTAGTCAATTTGGAGGCCCTGTGGGGAGTGGGGAGGGCTGAGGTCAACTATGAGGACTGATTCTCTGGATGCTGGCTGAGTGCTTTGTGGTGGCAATGTGGGAGACTGGAGAATGCTGGTGCCCTGAAGGAAGTAAGAGAATCACTGTAGGACATTGTTGGAGGTTGGGAGGACTATGGGGGTGCTGGAGGCTCTGCAGGCTGGGGAGACTCTGTGGGAGTTCGGGGGACAATGCAATGGTCTGGGGGGCACTGCAGGTGTTGGAAGCTCTCAGAGGGGTGTCTTCCAGGTCAGTGACTCAAGATATTAAAGCAAGTGGATCAGCATCACAAACAGGCAACAGGAATGTCATGCTTTTCTCATAACGGGTTTTGTATTCAAATACAGCACAATCCAGGTTTAGTATGAGTGATATCTCTTCTGAAAGGTCTAGCATTCATTTTCACTACAGACATGCAATCTTTCCACAACAAGAATATGAACATACACTGGCAATGTCACACATACATATCAACTGAAGAATTATTAAGACAATAACTAGTGAAAACTAGAACAAGTCTGTACAATGACATTACTGCTTATGATGTTTGCAAGGAACAATACCAAACACAGCTCATGTTGTCTGCACAGCAATCAGAACAGCAGTACAAATGGCTGGTTGCACCCATACATTGTAAGGCAATCAGCTGTGCTACTGACAAAATGGGCAGCTGCCTCCACGAACCAGGACTGTGTTTACAGAGGCAGGGCAAACAAACAGTGTGGCATGATATAGCCTCTACTGAGTGAGGGGAGAACGCTGGCATCTGCTGTTCTACAAGTTCAGCACTATGAGGAAAGCAGGAAGCAGTGGCTACGCAACTGGGAGCGAGAGCAGAGAAGGCTAAGGGGGAAAACCCATACACAAACATTAAAGATACACAAGTTAAAACTCCAACAGGGCACCCAACCCCTGCCGGGTGTTTCGCGCCCTGCTGCTGACCTTATTGGGCCCACTATGGGAGGGAGTGTCTTTCCGCCATATCGGCAGCCCTGTATAAATGGGAGATTTTTTTTTTACTGTTCAAAGTATTTGTATAACTCTATCTAGTCCTATGAGTTATACATTCAGGCCAGATAGTACAGCCAGGACAGCAACTTAACTTTTCTCTGCTGCTGTTAAGCTATACGGCCCCCTCTCCACAGCTTGTCACTGGACATTGAAGAGGCAGCAGTAGTCCACCCTACTGCTTACACTGCTGTTTCTGTCAGCACATGAAAATGCAGCACATTTGCTTTGCCCTTAGTGCAGACCCTTTCTCTCTCAGTCTAAGGGCAGCTGTAAGAGGATTTCTGGAAGCTCTTATCGAGTCAAATTCAGGTTCATACACTAGTTGTATTTTGATTTACACTTCATTACTTTGTATTAAAGTAACACTCAACTCAGGAGTTAAATCTTAAAATGCATTCAAGTACCTTAAGTATGAACACAATTGTAGCTTATTTGTGTATAACTTGGCTGTAGATCCTCAAATCATCTCTGTATTTGTGCTGACACTGTCCTTCCTTCTAGAACAGCGGTTCTCAACCTCTGGCTCACAACCCCCTGTTTAGTGGATCACCGTGTGCCTTCTGCTGCTCTAGGTGAGAGGCTCCTCAGCCTCCTCCTAGTGCAGCACTGTCAGTTCTTCCGCTGGCCGCCAGATGTCGCTGCATCTGCTGCGGCCGGCTGGACCCGCTCGACTGTGAAACTCAGCACTGGAATCTTTACACCTGTGCAAAGCTACCCTAAATTGCGTCTATACAAAGACAGCTCATGCTAATACCACCCTCAAGACACAACATATTAATCACTCTTTGTAGAGTCATAACTCATATACACATATCCATCTGTATAGACCTAATGATGGCCGTACACAAAGCGATTTATTATCGATCCAGTTAAAAGTAAGCAAATAAGTGTTTCATTATCAAATACAATATTATAAATGATACAACACACATAGTATCGTTCTGCACTTTGCAATCAACTGAAAATATTCAGCAACTGAAAATATTGCCAAAAAATACAATCAGTATTAAATGTGAATGATAATTTAAAACCACTTGTTTAGTCGCTCTGTATTCTAATCAGTTCTCTTTTACTGCACCCCCCCCCCCCCCCCACAACACCAACACAACTTTTTTCACCAGGAACCCTACACCTTCAATCATTTTTTTGAGTGATCAGAAGTAACTAAATTACTGATTGATGTGGCAGGGTCAAAAATGATTGAAGGTGTAGGGTTCCTGGTTGGTGTTTATTATTTCAATCAGTTTAGATACATTGTATCTTCATATAGATATGTATGTTGACACCTTAGCCCACACTTTCCTCCAGGTACAAACAATCCATGCTCATCTTCACTCACCTCTGTATATAGAACCAGTTGACACTCACCTCTGTATAGAGCAGTGGTTCTCAACCTGTGGGTCCCAACCCCTGTTAAGTAGGTCACAGCATGCCTTCTGCTGCGGCCGGCTGGACCCGCTCGCAATATAGGCAAATAGGTTCTAATATTTATGGACCTAATCTCCTCTGACACCGGAACTGATGCATGGTCAGAAAACTACCGAAGTCCAAGAATATGTTATAACACCCGCCAGTGTGCCAAAGCCACCAGGCAGCCCGCACTGACCACCAGAAAGCCCTCACTGACCACCAGAAAGCAACATAGAGTATGTAGCTACATATTATTCTGCATTGCTGTATGATGTATTACTGAGGTTTGTAGTCATCTATAGCCGGTGTCATTCTGTATTGCTATATAATGTATTGCTGGGACTTGGAGTTCTCTATAGTTGGTGGTATTCTGCATTGTTGTGTAATGTATTACTGGAATTTGTAGTCCTTTCTTCTGGAGTGTGATCTCAAGGGGATTCATGCTGCAGCAAGGGTAATCCCAGTTTCTCGGTATCAAAAACAGGCCTCAAGAGACTGGCTTCCTGGCCGATCAGGAAGATGACCCGCTCCCCGGCTTCCTGATTGGCTGTAAAGCCGGTTTCATGTTCCCTCATGAAATGGTATACTGGCTTTCTGACCAATGAGAAAGGCGGGTGGCAGGTCATGACCCACCACCCTTCTTCCCGATTGGTCAGGAAGCCAGACTGACCGTTAGTGTCACAAGGGTGCATATAATCTCTCTCTGACCGGCAGCTCCGATATTGATGGATTCGGGTGAGTATGAATACTCAATTGCTCAGTATCGACACGGATACTAGTATTGTTGCATCCCTAACTTTTACCGTTGGGAGTCACCACTACTTGACAAATCTTACCTCGGGGTCCCAACCCTACAAAGATTGAGAACCACTGTTCTAATGGGTGACTACTTTTGTTCCCTGTATGTGGTGCAAAGTAGCCACCGCTCCAAGCTCATTCCCATGATGGATCTCAAGCTCAATGCAAATTAGTAAACTAAATACAAGATTGTAGTCTATCACAAGAGTTATTTTGTAGCTGTGGCTACTTTAGAACACACAGAGGGACCATGAGGAACAAAAGTAGCCACCCTCCAGAAGGAAGGACAGTGTCAGCACAAATTCAGAGATGACTTTAGGATCTACAACCGAGTGATACACCAATAAGATACAATTTTGTTAATACGGTACTTGAATGCATTTTTAAGATTTAACACCTAGTTAATCTAGTTTAACCACATTAATTTGTGTTTCCATACCTGGTGTTCAGCTTTAAATTTTACTCTTTTGCACTTATCTTACAGTTGGTTTACACCGAATACACTGCCACATTTTAAATGCAGCAAAATGCATGGCCAGCACATTGTTTTCAATATGATTTATTGAATCCCAATGTATTGTGCTGCAATGCAACGAAAGAGTCCTGTGTGCTGCATTTTTGGGTACCTTTACATGCATTTTGCCATTTAAGTGGATTGATTGATGTCTTTAGTTTAATGCAACATGCATACATTTCTGGTGACCTTATGTGATACTGAGCATATGTTGAATTTCTTCATATATGCTGTTTAATGTTAGTTGGCAAAAAAAAAAAAATCTTATTGTACTGCATGTAATGTACAGCATGAATCCTGAATGACTCAGCCCCATGTTCTTTTTTTTTTTTACCATTTTTCTTAAATTAACTCAATATTTTCAACCAAGTGCATGCTATTTCACTCTTATCTTTCTCCTAGCACTTATGTATGTTATTTGTGGACATTTTTCCCAGCATTCTCAAGTCACAGCTGACATTTCATTTTAATGTAATCTTCTACATGTAGAAGCCACTAATTAATTTAGTGTATCCCTTAATGCTTCTTCTGGCTCTCCATTAGAAGATGGAGTTTTATTATTGGTGATATTTTCCCAATGATTCATGAAACACAAAATTATTTTCAAGTAGCTTAATCATCTACTTAGGCAGCATACTATGTAATGCATTGATAACATCTAATGGCTTATTTTCTTTTTCCATTCCTTGTAGTAAGGGCCTTGGTAGACAAGGGGTAGTCAAACCATGTTTTACTTGTCTCAGAATTCTGAGTTTAACCTACGGTTTTCCACCAGTAATTAACCTTTCACAGACTCAGCGGTAAACATTTTTTATAACATGGGGCATAATTGGAAGCTTTTTCACGTTAAAGAGGACATCATGTGCAAACGACTTAATATTGTCTCTCCGACCCACTGATCCATACATATATTTATACTGCTCAAATAAATGTTATGGGCTGGCCTACATTATCTGTGCAAATGACAGGTAGTCAGTTTGTTCTTTGGTGAAATAACCTGAAATGACATGAAAATACTGTATACTGGTGGATATTACCTGCTCAAACAGGAAATTTGCTGTTGCACTCAAAGAATTACAAATCTAAAATAGAAGATTATCCTACATAAAATAAGCTACTGCATTGTAACAGCTTGTGTGTATAAGTATATGATTAGCACAGTAAAGCCTTCTTAAAAAAAGAAGATATTTACAAATCTCATTCTGTCATGTCCAAAAAATGAGAGAAATATTCCTAAATTATGGACAATGGGTGAGCCCATAAAAAATATTCATTTGCATCTCAATAGGGAAATGTTCATCTAGAATCGCTGGGGTATAGTACAAACTAGAGGTGCACCGAAATGGAATTTTTAAAACCGAAACAAAACCGAAATAAAAAAAAATGTCAGGCCGAAACCGATACCGAAAATGTTTTTTATTTTTATTTTTTAAATATTTTTTTAAATATTTTTTTAAGATATATCGGTGCATCCCTAGTACAAACATGGTCTAATATTATAGAGCCATGCATTCCAAACTGCAGTTTGGTTATTGTTGCAGGGAAGAAAAAGAAATTGCACCGCCAGCCTCACAATTGTATGAGGACAGTTTTGAAAGTATCCTATAAGGAGGGGGAGCATGTAATATGTGGCACAGACTTAGGAAAAAAAAGGCACAGGCTGATGTTTATAATTTTCAACAAAAATAATACTTTACAGGAGTGACAGCTATCCTCCCAAAAACACCCATGTTATAGATGCTAGAAGCAGTGGTGAATTCTTCTATACATTTCTAGTGTTTAAAGTGTATCACCTAGAACATATGAAAAAATACCTTAGTATATACTTTACAGATCTATTTTGATTTGTCGTATTTTTAGAATAACTTCTTCTGAAAAAAAAATGTTTCCAAAAATATGTATAACTCTTATAGCTAGAACAGATACATAACCTACTCCCACTTTGCCGTTCAGTGCTTTGGGACTGTACATTCGTGGAATTGAGGAGAATAGCAGGACTAAACGTGATGGCCTCTTCCAAGAAAATGAATGCATCGTGAAAATTAACAATGTGGAACTTGCCGATAGGTCTTTTACACAGTAAGTATTACACTGTGGAAATGTATGAAGGAACATTTATTGACACATATCTAGGTACAGTTATTGAAACTGAAGCTTTGCTATTCAATCAGACACTACATTCTCTGTTTATAAGAAAACTCCCAGCAAAACACAATGTGGAAATACAGTGGCTTGCAAAAGTATTCACCCCCTTGGCAGTTTTCCCATTATGTTGCATTACCACATGGAATTAAAATTGATTTTTGGGAGTTTTGTATCATTTGATTTACAAAACATGCCTGCCACTTTGAAGATGCAAAATATGTTTTATTGTGATACAAACAAGAAATACGAATACAAAAAAATTAAAACTTGAGTGAGCATAACTATTCACCCACCAAGTCAATACATTGCCACCTTTTGCAGCAATTGCAGCTACAAGTCTCTTGGGGTGTATCTCTATAAGCTTGGCACGTCTAGCCACTGGGATTGTTTGCTCATTTTTCAAAGCAAAACTGCTCCAGCTCCTTCAAGTTGGATGGTGTGCACAAAGTCATGTCACAGATTCTCAATTGTTTAAAGGTCTGGCCTTTGACTAGGCCATTCCAAGCCATTTAAATGTTTCCCCTTAAACCACTTGAGTGTTGCTTTAGCAGTATGCTTAAGGTCATTGTCCTGCTGGAAGTTAACCCTCTGTTCCAGTCTCAAATCTCTGGCAGACTAAAACAGGTTTCTCTCAAGAATTTCGCCACCTTTAGCTCCATCCATCATTCCTTCAATTCTGACAAACTTGCCAGTCCCTGCTGATGAAAAACATGGGGGTCTATTCATGAAGCTGCCGAGGGATCTGGCCGTAGCTTCGGCCGATCCTTCGGCTAGCTTCGGCCCCAGGACCCCTTCGGTTCAGTAGAACCGAGGGGGTGCTGTACGGGCTATTCACAATAGCCCGTACAGCTCCCGATCATGGCCGAGCGGCTCAGTCGAGCCGAACGCATATGCATCGGCTCGGCTGAGCCGTGC